TCTTTCCATCCTGAACACTCTCTTGTGTGTTCAGCATCTTGAGTTTCAGGATGTGACAAAAGGCAACTGGAGAAAGGTTGAAGGAACGTTCAAATTTGGATTGACAGGACAAGATGGGTGGTGCTATTGTAAGGAGCTGGAAATGCAGGGTGCAAAGTACATGTAAATAGGAATTGTAAGGGAATGACCACTAGGCAGCAAGCCCGGAATAAAGGATTGACTTTGGCATGATTTCAAGCTATTGATTTATTTTTGAGGTTAAGCACATATATCTTGCCTGCAAAGTATTGTAACCAAAAGCTCCAAAAAGGTCAGGCTTTGTGGGAATCTTTCACTGTTGTGATTTTTAATGGCAAAGTATGTAATGTTTCATTAGCTGTTAAAGATCTAAAAGTGGGACAAAAAGAAAGTGTGACAAATACATGTAGTACAAAAAACAAAAATATTCAAACAGAAAGAACTTGAAAGATCAACTTAATGTACATGCATTCCCTAATGAAATGTTAATGAAGGAAAAACACAGTCTCCCAAGGGATACTGGTTACTACACTTACAGAGGAAACAATTCAATAATTGATAGATGTAATTATACAGATCCATTCTGATTGGAGTAGAGAAGCCGCATGGCCTTATGGGATAAATTCCCAGTGGGGTAACGTGTTCATTACCGCCCGGAGATAGAGGAGGTATGTGTCATGACAGTGTCGCATTGGGGCCAATTTGAATGTTGCTGAGGACTTTGTAAAATTTGAAATCAATAGAGCCTGAAAGTTGGCCCCTGATGGCATGCTTCCGGAACCCTTGGACAAGAAAAATAACGTGCAACGATTTCAGAATTTGTAATATTTTTTTGTTCAGTTTCTTCTTGAAAAAATCCAACTAAGATAGGGGGCTTTGGAAAATATTTGCCAGTATATCAATTTATAGAAACTGAAAAATCACCTGACCTTAAAGAGAAATATCCTGCCAAAAATTGACCCCCCCGCAGATGAACATGTACAGTTTGAAATTTTATGGTAGTCTGTCGGTCAAAGCCAAAATAAAAACAGATCAAAATATTTTACATACTTTTATAATTTATAAGGTAATAAACTTAAAGCAATATTCTACTTTTATGAAAGGTTCTGATATTTTACCTAACCTTTGCTGACAACAACTATGTGATGTCAACTCAACGAAATCTGGAACCCATAGACTGCAGATACACATAGGTATATCTTTGCAACGCTGTACAACCTCATTTCCACGAAAGCACAGGGAGTGAAAACAAACATGCATGAACAAGGAGACAAACTTGTAGGTGCGATATCGTTGGACATGAAAGGTCATTAATAAAATTTGGTTTTTAGCCATCTCCAGGTGACTTCTCCTAAACATTACTAAAGGACAGAAGATAAAGGTAAAATTCCAACACAAGTGTTTCATGGGGTGATTTCAGCTAGGCATTATTCGTCCAAAAACTACCGAACGTGATAGGACGGCCCAATGTAAAATCCCCATAGGGAGGGTTCAGGAAGCTCGCTGCGTGACCTTTCTACTTTCAGGCTGTATACCAGGCCAATGGCTTGATAACACTTTTTATTATCAACAGTTATTGATAAAGTGGTGGGCTACTGGCCTCATAATCAAATTGTCAAAAATCTACAATGTTATTTTGCCACTCTCATCAATCAAGACACCAATAGTATTTGATTTGGTCTTCATTTCATAGAGCAGAGCAAAACATCAAGGCATTTCCAATGACAGACAAAATCTTTATCCTCAGATTCAAATTTTCTTGTTTGATGTCATATCAGCTAAACTGGATGTGCCTCTGTCTATAACATGAAAGGACTTGAGGAGCCTGCAAGACTATTTCTGATAGTTTCCTATTAATTTCATGGTGTTACAATGAGTTTTAACGGAGTAAAAGCAACAAGAACAAATATCTGAGGGCGACGACCTTTTAAAAGTTTGCATCAAAATGCAAGTTAAGAAAATATTCCAATAAACGTGAAGTCTCGTTGTTTGAAAATTATGAATGTACATGACTCTATGCATTTTCTGAGAGCTATAAAGGCAAACTGTGCTTTTAAATGTGTTACTCTTTTCAAAGGCTAACTTCAGAGAGACCTTAAAAATATTCAGAATTCCAACAGCCAAAATAATGTACCAGTACGTACTTAGCTTAGTTTTATATAAAGGCCATCATGTGATGCAAGTTGTTACTTCCTATATGTAAATGCCCTGTAGGCCTGAATACATGTACATGAGTGACCTCTCACATCCTAACCTTGGTCAGTCCATAGACCCCAATAACGCCCCAAGCAATGCCTTCAACTGACCATTCAGACCATTCAGAATAACCAGTGGACATAAGTCTCAGTAGACACTGCCCAACAATGCATAATAGCATGAAGAAATCAATGTTGTCTCTCTTTGCATGGAGGCGCTAATGATCAAAGAAAGCGTGGTTCTGAAGGACTGGATCAACCGGTTTGTATTTTTCCAATCTTTACTTTCCTTTTGTTTTGTTTGCGGGTATCAGGCAGCTTTGGGGAGAAGGGCCACTAATTCCATAATGATGCAGCGATGGCTGGGAACAGTGGAGTTAACTCTGGCATAATAATGTTTTCCTTTGAGGTGTTTGCCAAATACAAATCTTCAAAAGTCTTACAGTGCCTGCAGAGCCCGAATCTCCTTACTGTATGCGTTGTTTAGAAAGGGGTTTTGGTTGGACTAAGGTCAATCATTTCATTGATTTTTTTAAGATCACACAGTAAATTCATTCAAGAGGAAGTAACGGCAAATTATCTTATCTGCTCGATAACAAGTTTCAAGGTAATTTCCTACTGAGAGAAAAAATCATGCAGGTTGATAAAACAGACCAATTTGTTAGACTCAAGGTTATTTTAAAGCACTGTTAATTTCAGAATGAGTAAGCAATGTTTACTTTCAGTTTACATAGTCAACATCAATGAACTGGGAAAAATATGAAAATGAAACAAATGGCAAGGAAATGCCATATTTCATGGTCAAAGTGTCTGTCAACGAAGATAGTAGTCTGTTGGAACTCGTGAGAGCATACAGGCATGAAAGTTATCTTCCTTTTTGAATTAACTATGAAATTCCATTGCTGCATTTACATCATGCTATATATTCAAGTTCTGAGGAAAAAACAAAATTAATGGTCAAATGTATCCATTTTAATAATGACACCCTAATAATTTCTGTTTAAATTGTTACTTCCAATTCTGTGAACCTGTTTCTTTAAATAAACTTATTTATTTACTTAAGCTGAAGTGGTTCAGCTGGAAACCTGCAAATAAACAAATGCAATAAAATCCACCTGCAATGCATGGTACACCAAACCTAGGGACATTAAACATGACAAATTCAACACTGGCTGGGCATTACAGTTCTGAATCTCATCCAATCCTGGCACATAGGATGCCAGATTTTGAAAAGCTAAAAGTACAGTGTACGGTGGGTTTGTAGAATTAAAGAGTTATAATGAAACAGTCACTTACCTCTGGATTCCAGAGTGTGGTGACAGTAGGTGAGCTGGACTGCGGCTTGGATTTGGTCCGCCAAATCTTCTTTGGCATGAACTTACTACTCGGCGAGCTACTCTGCCGGCCTTTGTGCATAACTGTAGGAGAAGAAGGCGGGGAAAAGGCATCAGTGAAACCCCCTTCATCACTACTGGTGTGATCAGGGCTGCTAGGCAGACCTGATAGAGACTCCCCTGACCCACTGGTGGACTTGCGTTCTCGTGGACTGGAAGGTCCCGATGATGATGAACGACTACCAGACAAAACACTTGATGCAAGTTTCTGAAAGTAGTTTATCCTACGTTTAGTTGCTGGCGATGGAGCTACTTTGGCAGTATTTATCACTTGCAGCGAGTCACTACCGCTCGGGGGCTGTAAACTGTTCTGCGAGTCCCCACCATTTGCACTCTGGTAACCGAAATCAAATGACCTTGCAGTGCGCAGGGGGGGCCTGCCAATTAAATTATTATTGGTTATTTTGTCTTGGAGGGCTTGCACACTGCTTGCAGAGGAATCAAAGGTCTCTTGACGTTGCAATCGACGGGGTTCAGGAAACCGGTCCGTTTCATCCTCGCGATCCAGACTGCGAGACTCGCGGAGAAATTTATGGGGTCCAGTTGGTGAAGAATCCCCCGACAAACTCACGACAGGCTTGGGCTTAGGTCGCTGCAACAGCTTACTTGTGCTAGAGCTCGTGCATACAGTATAGCCAATCTTTTTGGAGCCAGGTCCGATGAGGTCAAATTTAAAAACCTGATCAGTCTTGGGGCTCATGTCCGGAGAATTGTAAAAACTAGAACTCTGTGAATCCGAGGATCTACTTAAAGTCTTGGAGGTTTTGGACATGTTGGGAAGACTGCTACCCATGTCTCCCATGTAAAAGGGCAGAGTTGAGTCTCCCTCTTCACCCCTCTTTGAGGTGAGAGATCCACGATCACACCCACTATCCACACGGGATAGAGAGCTGGTAACCAGGACATCCCTTTTATGCCCAGCTATACTCATGATGATCTCTTAACAAAAATTACAATCATGAAACCACTGGCAAGCAAAGTGTCATGGATGCAGCAGTAAAAAGTACTGAAATACTGGAAAACTGATTAAAGCCAAGATATCCTCAAACAGTATTTGTATGCTTTGATGACACTACTGTACGAAAAAGTTGGCGCATTTTAACAATGGAGTAACACAGCAGGGGACTCTAGTCTGAGGCACCTGCTAGCCATGGAAGAACTACACACAATACCTCACAAAACACTTCAAGTCAGGTGTTGAACAGTAGGATTAAAGCTGACAAAAGCTATTTGCTTTCAGGATAAAAAAGTGACCACACGAAATTCCGGCAGCACGACTCGAAATCTGCAAGCGCGCACCCTTCACAGGTTTCAGTCACACGCCGTGAGTTGTGCAGAATCGCTGTCCGTCAACTTCAAGGTTAAAGAGAATGAAGGAATTGAGATCTTTCTTGTGCGAGTAGAAACCACAGCAAAAATCTGCAACTTGTCGAAAAAACTCTCATTATACAAGTCAAATGGCGTCCTGTCCAGTAATTTCTTTCGTACAATACAGAATTCTACATGAAGACTGAGCGATTCCGGTGGAAAAACAAGTGATGGAAATTGGAACACGTCGATCGTGAAGTTGGCCGAGTTGAACGAGTTACGCCTGCCTGCTTCTCGAAAATTGTCGGAGAAGCGTATCGTCAAAGACTCATTCTTGTGTACAAAAAAAATTACTCTATCTCTACCAAAAGATGAGGATAGTGGAGAAATACATGAATCACGAATCGTGACAGTGTCAAATCTCCGCACCACCACACTCGGTACATGTACAACACTTGGCAAAGTTTGCATCGCGATAGTTGATCAAACGTTCACCACATGGTGTTTTATTATCATCTTCCGAGGACGGGAGAACCCATTACTCATTAGGTATGGCATACGTAAATCCAGCATAAAGTGCTTTGTGAAGCAAGATAAACCTACACTTTGTCGCTGTAACTGAGATTCCCCTTTTATTTGATTTAGAACTGGGAGGAATCAATTTTTTGCAGGCAATTTTCAATCTTTCCTGTGATTTGTGACTGAATGACAATCATGAAATCAGACTGAGCATCCCTTCTATATAATGGATTTGCTCATTAATCAAGATAACACGATTGAGGGCGTACTTCATGGAATAGATGAAATAAAATTTTGCACTGATCGTACAAAAAATCTAGAGTGGGGGCGCTGTCGCGTTAAGCTGGGAAGAAGTTGAAATTCGCTCCCCCCCCACCTACACACACACGCGCAGCCTCCAAAACTTGGCAATTTTTGGGAGGAGTAAAAAGGTCACAGACAAAGTATTGAGAAATGTATGGTGTATCATGTTCAAAATAGCAAGTGCACTTATGTATTAGATAGATCTGTAGCCAGGATCTTAAATTTGTAATTCGTAAATTTATTTTGAATATCCTTGAGGACTGCTTTTTCCTCATTTTTGGACTTGTTGAAATGTGATTTGGGTTAAATAAAGGTAAAGCATACACTACAGATGAACACTAGGTTCGGCAAAAATTGGCTTTCCTCTGGAAAAATACATCAGTGTATTTATATTTTTCTAAGCAAATGATTGTATTAAAATCAAGGTCCGTTGAGTTTGTCGGTCAGAGCAATCGTTTCTATTTTTGAAGGACCTGGTTTGTTGAGGTACTAAATTGATTGATTTCCCCTGGTGAATTGCCTCCACTTACGGAATCATATTCTCACGGCCCCTCCAGCTGTAACCTGTTGACGGATTCCCTGTTTATCATAATAAGTTTCGATTTCATTTGTATGACCAGATAGACCTAACGTTTACGTCAAATGAAAGGACAGTTAAAAGCAGGAAGTAACATCAAGACGCCACTTGCTCACTTGGGAATATCTATAAATGATTGTCATGGAGATGCAATAAGCGTCTCTCGGGATAATTTTTACTTAACCCTAAAAGAGCCGGGGGCGGAATCCGCCCCACCCCCCAACATTTTTTCCGATATCGCCGCATTGCATTTTCTCTCAAACGTCGAGCCTTTATGAGTTTTTAAAGTAACTCTTTGCGGTCATTTTAACACCATTTTTGTAAAAATCAAACATATCGTTCTCGCACAGACGAGTCAGCCCAAAACTGTATACTTTTCCACTGTGGTGCCCAATGCACGCGCACTGGCATGCATGTAGCCATGAACTTCCAATGACCGTCACAACAAATCCATAAATTGGGGTTTAAACTTCACTCTTGTAATGATAAAGAGGGTCTGTATATGGCACGTCAAGTGTCACGAAAATCAGACCTATCACAACCGAGTTCTTATAGGGGCCGGAATCCCTCCCCCAGTCTTTGTGTATGTGTGTGTGTTCCAAATAACATGGCTCTTTGATGGTTATTTTTGGCTATCTCACCTCGGGAAAGACACTCCTCATCAGTACAATTGTGTGAAGTTTCAACCCAATTATATTGTTTTGTTGTTATGGTCATTTGAAGTTCAAGGTCACTCGCCTGCTAGCCCGCTTGCATTAATCACGGCGGTGACATGGTATATGTATTATTGGCTGACTTGTTTCGGGAAAATGGGCGCTGCACAAGAACGGTAGCTTCAATTTTCACAAATGTGATGTCAAAATGACCGCAAAGAGTTACTGGACAAATTCCCAAAGGCTAAGCTCGTAAAGATAAAAGCAATACTGTGATATCGGAGAAAATGTTGAGGTGGACAAAATCTGCCCCGGCTCTTTCAGCGTTGTTAAACCTTGGTGGCTTGAAGAGTAGCAGCAATGTGTAAACTTTGGGCAAGTTCGAGCGACGACAGCCATAGTTCGACTAACACCGCCCGAACGATAGATGATTAGGACTATCTAGTTGACCATTTTGGACAAGGCTCATGGGTATGGTCACACCACTCGTTATCAATAGCTGATTTCATTTATCATTACAGGGGGAACCATTCACATGAAATAATTGTACGAGATTTCAGTGACCATGTACAGTGCGAGAATTGCAGCCAAGAGTGAAATTGCCAAACTTGCTGTCAACCACATGTAGAGGGCGCTATACAAATTTGTACAACGAACTGAGCAACACTGACGAAAACCCAATTTAATTTAGGGAAAACAGTTTCTCGGAATTCCTCCCCATCAATTGGCTCATTTTAAGAAAAAGGAAATATTGATTAAATTAGTTGTACTCAGTTGATAAATTGTGCCGTAATTATCGAATACGGAGAAATCATCTAGCTTTCATGGTAATCTAATTATTCGTTTGCAATCCAGAATAGTTTCTCCAATTTTCACCATGTTTATCATCCGATTGAGGTTTTGCACGCTAATTCTTTTGTCAGTAGATTCTTTGGCAAAAAGTCTCAGTTACACGCAAATTAATTCTCTCTCCAAGTCTTGTGATATACGCAGCATTTGGTGCTAACTTAAAAGAGAAACGGCCGACTGAAAGCACATCACAGAAGGAATTTGCACGTCATCCCCATCAAGTGAATCCAAGTGAACACATCACTGACCGTAAAGCATCATGGTCACTGACAAGGTGTGGTCCAACAAACACAGCGAAAGGACTAAATTTGAAAAAAGGAGGGGGAGTAGAAATAAACCTGGACTCTTGGAACGTTGAAGAGCCTACAGAGCACTTGTGAGATGAGAGCCCAAGTGTACACAGTCTCCAGTAGACGATAACATCCATTCACAGCTTAAGCTTGTAACTCCGTACTCACAGATACGTTATTAATTCGCATATTAAGCATCACTATCGCCAATTCAAAATGGAGTTGGATATATTTGTCGATACACTGTGACATTTCAAGGATGGGCATAGGCCTTACAAAAACTCTAAGAAATTAGGTTGACGAGATGTAACCACACGCTGTCACATCCTCCAAGAAACGAACAGATATGAGATAACAGAGGAAGGCAGCAAGCGATTTGGTAGAAGTTCATGAAATCTTGGGCGATTTCTTTTATTGTAAACTCATTTCAAAGGAAACGATCAATAAAGCGAAATGTTCAATCTTGCCACAAGATTCCAACTGGAACTTGTTCAAGCAGTCCAACATTAAGTGCGGAGTTGGTGTGAAAATGTGCACCATTTTGTGAAATAATACAGAGTGCAAGTGAGTCCCAAGAGAAAGTGTTCATTGTATGATGATGAAGATGAGAGCATAACCGAGAAAGGGAAAAATACAGAAATTCTGATTGGGAAGAAAAATAGCAAAATGGAAGCTTGTTAATTTTGTCAACAAAATCGGATAAGCATATGACATTATTGATGACTGCACAGACTATGAAATGTGTGTCTCTCAATAGGAAGCTATCAACTATTTAGTCAGTAATATCCAATGGAAATTTGTCAAAAGCTATTGTTGTTACCTCTGCAACTTCGCAATTTTTATCAAGTAAACAAATTGAAATTCCGAAAACAGAAAGATAAGACGCTAAAATTCAAATTATGAAACACGTTATGGCAAGACGAATAGCAAGTATGAAATTGAAATAAGAAAAGACTAACCATTACATATCTGCAACAGCATCATCGAAGCATGTGCTATCGCCATGCGGTCCCGAATTCTCATTCGGGTAGCCTCTGTCTACTTTCGTTAATCCACTCCTGCTGTCCTTCTGACGGACCCTCTCCTCGTGCACCCGTTACATCTTCAATTTGGCCAAGCATGCTGCCTGAATTGGGGGATTTTGGGCCGCCATATGGCAGCCCCCAAAACTGGGTTATCCCGATATGCAGAGCCGGTACTTGTTTTTCTCAACCCAAACCAGCTTGTTGACTGCACAACGTGTTGCCAGTGCAAATCTATATATCTCCCCCAAATGTTGTTTTGCCAACACGTGTACGTCATTCGCTAGCTTTGGATGGTTTTCAAGCAAACGTGTATTTTGTGCCACAACGTGCTTTGAGAACTTGGCAATCAAACGTTCGGAGGCGAGCAACAATCAATGCCGGGCGACTGTGTGTAATGATGAATGAAACCCCTGTAATTTGCTGCCGACATACTTTTGTAGTCTGCCCTTACCATAGGAGTACCATCTACACGTTGATAAAAGTTATTCAAATTAAGCAGCCTGACACGAGGTGGCTTCGACGCCGCGTATATCTCAGGTCGTTTTTCTGCGTCGGTTAAATTGCAGGACTGACGTCACGACAGATTCCGCATTAATTAATATTCTCCACACCTTCCCAAAGGTCAATGGGGAGAGCGCACGCGAGAGTAAGCCGTTCACGGGTATAGTGAGCGCTCCCCCGTCCCTGGCCCATGTAGCAAGTCTGTTGACATCAGTGCGGGATTTTCTCGCGGTCTTGTGAGGAGCTAAACATAGCTACTGAGCCGCAGACCTCCGAACGGATCAAGAGATGAGTGGGCAGATTTTGCCGTACACAAAGCGCACTTTGTTTGGAAACAGCACAGAGGCTATTGGTGAAACGCAGCAACATGTCTTGCAGTTTTCAGATTGAAAAACATCCGAAATGGAGCTGGTAACAAAGGTGGATTTTATAAAATACATTTAATATACGAACATTTAATATATGAATGCTTTTCAATACTGCGGTTTTCCTTCCACCATGTTCAGTGTGATTGTGCATCAGTGACTGCACACCATCACAGTGGGCCACTTGCTCGCACATAAATCATTTGTAGACTTTGAACTTAGAGGTATCGACAAGGAATAAAAGTTTTTTAAAAAGTCAGTATAAAATTTTACCGAAACATATCTCAATGTGCATGTTGAATTTAAGAAAAGTACAGCTAAGTGTTACTGAAACACCAATGCTTTCAATTACTTACGACTTGATTAAATATGACGCTGATTG